CCCCAAAACCCCAAAACCCCAAAACCCCAAAACCCCATGAGATTATGATTAGGGGAAATCAACTAATAAAATAATTAGCTGTTTAATTCTCAATTTTGAATAGATGTATAATTCTTAATTGTGAATAAATGTTTAAGAAGTTTGATTCGACTTCAATTACTGGCGTTAAAGCTGATGAAAAATTCGCCATCGAAGGGGCATCAGCCTACGGCAAGGAGAAAATAGTAAGTGAGCTGGCTGTCTAGTAGGAGCAGGACAAATTAAAGAAGGAAACTGAGGCGAAGTCCATATTACATGGAGGTACTTTAAATAAAGTAGGCTCTACGGATCCAACGGGCTCTAACAGCGGTCTTGTAGGTTAGAATAACAAAATCTCTCCATTCAGATCTCAAAGAAATGCATCGATTGGCAGCGTTGCAGCAAATAACGCCATGGCACACAACGGAATGATGCAAATTTCAGGAATAAAGGGACAGCAGGCTATTCAGAAATGTGTGAAACTCATTAAACCCGACCCCAACATGATCAGAAGACTACTCAATGAGGAAAAAGATGAGAGGTACAGGTATTTACTTAGACATGGTAATATTCTCAATATTGAGTCTGAAACTCTATCGCTTTACGTGGAGTTACCTCAGATTCCAAATATAATAATAGTGTATCGTCGACCATCAGAAAGAGAAATGAATGTTGAAAAGATGAATCTTGATTCTCGCAACTTGAAACACATCCCACTTCTCGAGGGTGAGGAAAAAATCAAGTACTTGAACCTCTAGAATAACGAAATCGTTAAAATAGAGAATTTAGTGTCGTTACCCAACCTGACATTCCTTGATTTATCTATGAACAAAATTAAAGAAATTTCAAATTTCTCTACCGTTGAACATCTTAGAGTCCTCATTCTGAGTAAAAACATGATTGAGTCTATAAGAAATCTCGATGCCTTCAAGAATTTAGATGTCCTTGATCTCCATGAAAATAAGATCACTAAGATTGATAATCTCAGCAAGTTAGTCAACTTAAGAGTACTTAATCTCTCAAACAATTCAATTGAAGTAATTGAGAATTTAGGCGGACTCAAAGCCCTTGTTGAGCTAAATCTCAGGAAAAATAAGATTAATCTGATCAAGGAGCTGAACGGTCTTAACAGTCTCTAGAAATTATACCTTTCTAATAATAACATCGGCTCAGTTGAAAATGTCAAGGAGCTGCCATCACTGACTGATATCACTCTTGAAAATAATCCAATAGAAAAGATAGCTAAGTTTCAACAGATTATAAAGGACAAATTCCCATCAGTATAATTCTTAAATCTTCAGAAAATAAATTTGCCACTTGAAGAGACTATTACAAAAAAGGAACCAACCACTCCAGTCTCAAACAAAAATGCAGACAAAAGTTTGATATCAAATAATGAGAAAAAGAGTCCCAACAGAGTATTAGAAATGGGAGTAAATCAGACTAAGAATTCAAGTAATAATGTCACTTCATCAGTATCTAAGCCTAAAATAGAGTCAAATGTTATTAAGATTATCCAAAGAGAATGGGAAAAGGAGTGTGAGAGACTAGATGCCAAGAAAAATGGATACAAACCAAAGTAATAAGTAGGAGATAGTAAGTTAAACGTTATGTTAATACAATTATAGAAAGTCTTGTCTAAAGTGGTCATGCTGAAATTGAAGCTAATAGAATACTTTATATATTTGGAAATGCTCTTGAAGTTCTGTAAAGATCAGAGTTTTATGAGCAAGTTGAGGAGATGCATATGCAGTATGTGAGATTCGATTTGATTGTATACCATGCAAATCTTGATAAGTTGAAGAAGTTTACTAAACTAAAGAAACTTGTACTCTCAAACAACTATCTCAATTCATTCATTCTATTATCTAAGATTGAGGTAAATTAAAATTCATATGAACTTTTTAGTGTTTACACTCACTACAAAACTTAGTCATTCTGGATAATGAGGTGCTTTAAAGCAAAACTCTTAAAAGTTTTGTGGTTTATAGATTCTAACACATTTAAGAGGTAAATTTAAACATAATCTATAATTATTACAGTTTAATGGAATGCCCATTAATGATTTCGATAAGAAGGTGGCCAAATAACAGTTTTAACTATTTGATAAAATTCTCTCAATTCAAAACATTTTTACTAAGAAGACTAGCTCAGCAATGGATCCTACAAAGCGCTAAGAACAGAGACTAAAGTCAAAGAAGAACTTAGAGGTAATAATTAATGTAATTAAGTATTGTATAGTTTGCTCACATATATGTTTTGGGCTTAATAGATGACTGCACCAGAAAAGAAGAGGATAAGTCTGATATTGATAGCAAGCTAGAAAAGGTCGTCAAAAACATCATCAATACAACAACTATGGAACTAATAGGGGACTCATATCAAATGGAGAGGAAACTGCATGAAGGCATTTCTAAATCAGTCAAGGCTTGATATGAATAACTTAAAAATCAATTAGATAGTTGAACATGTGTGGATGCATCACGAATTAAGATAAATAATGATAGTATATATAAACTTAAATATGATTTAGAATTTTCGATATAGCAGTTAATACTCATTTATTTCAATCGAGGGGTTTTGGGGTTTTGGGGAGATCGGAAGAGCACACGTC